AGATGGCCTCCCAAACGGAGCCGTGAGCGTCCCAAGAGAGCCCCAGATGGCAGCAAGATGCCTCCAAGACGGGCCAGGAGGCCTCGAGGTTTTCCAGAAGGCACAAAGAGGTCAAGATCATCGAGTACCTAGGTGATGCAATGGATGTTGGCGGCACAAGAGCCCCCCCCCAAGATCGCCCTAAAATCGCACAGGAGGCCTCCAAGATGGCCGCCCGTTCGGCGCAAGAGGCCCCCACGACGGCCCCACGACGGCCCCAAGAGGGCCACAAGAGGCCTCCAAGACGCCCAAAACGACCTCCTAAGAGAGCTCCAAGAGGAGACGGCATCCGACGGCGCCAGACGGGCCAGGAACGCCGTAAGACGGCCAAAGATGCACCCAATAAGCCTCAAAGGCCCCCAAGAGGCCCAAGGAGGCCCCCAAGAGGCCTCAAAGAGGTCCCCAGGAAGCTCCCAGGAGGACCCAAGAATACCCAAGAAGCTCCCAGAGATCTCCTGATCCTTCTCCTTATCCTCCTATTCCTCCTCTCTCCTCATCCTCCCCTTCCTGCCCCACGTGTTCCACGAAGGCTTTCCACAACGACTGGGGGAACGCATGGTCTACTACGTGGCCAAACTTAGGCCAAACGTTTGGCCACGTAGGCGTATCTCAAAAGGCAGAATGCGGCGCTGATTCGCCGTAGATCCGCCGCCACCCTGTGATCCGGCCACAGGGGTGCACTGGGTACAGTACGTTAGGCAGTTGCTGGATCTGTTGTTGGTTCATTACCTAACAGCGAAGACTGATAGGTTTCTGGTGGGCTCGAAAGAAAGCATATTGACTCCCCAAGGGGGTCTGGGCGGATGCCGAGGGAATCCGGGGGAATCCGGGGAATCCGGGGACTCCCCAGGACTCCTATAGATTCCTACAGTTTCCTATGGATTCCTACAGATTCTGTTCCCAGAGCACCATTCCCACGCCACATTGTGAATGCCCGGAGCCAACTTCCCAGAACACCATTCCCAGGCCAGATTTTGAATGCCCGGAGCCAACTGTAGGCCACTTCGTGTTCTCCGTCTTCCCAGCACAGCATTCCCAGGCCACATTTTGAATGCCCGGAGCCAACTGTAGGCCACTTCGTGTTCTTCGTGTTCCCAGAACACCATTCCTGTACCATATGTTGATTGCCCGGAGCCAACTGTGGGCAACTTCGTGATCTTCGTGTTCCCAGAACACCAGTCCTGTGCCATATTCTAAATGCCCGAGCAGAGGCAGGCTGAGGCCGAGGCAGGCTGAGGCCGAGGCAGGCTGAGGCTGAGGCTGAGGCACGCCGAGACAGGCTGAGGCTGAGGCTGAGGCAGGCTGAGGCTCAGGCAGGCTGAGGCTGAGGCTGACGCAGGCTGAGGCCGAGGCAGGCTGAGGCTGAGGCTGAGGCAGGCTGAGGCTGAGGCAGGCTGAGACTGAGGCTGAGGCAGGCTGAGGCAGAGGCTGAGGCTGATGCAGGCTGAGGCTGAGAGGCTGACGCTGAGGCAGGCTGAGGCTGAGGCCGAGGCAGGCTGAGGCTGAGGCTGAGGCAAGCCGAGGCAGGCTGAGGCTGAGGCTGAAACTGAGGCAGGCTGAGGCATCAGTAGGAATCCATAGGAATCCTCAGGAATACCTAGGAATCCTTGGGAATCCGTAGGCATCCTTAGGAATCCGTAGGCATAGTTAAGCATCCTCAGGGATCCTTAGGAATCCTTAGGATTCCCTAGGAATCCTTAGGAATCCCCAGGAATCCCTAGGACTCAGGATTCCTGAGGATTCCTAAGGTTTCCTAAGGATTCCTATGGATTCCTAAGGGTGCCTGAGGATGCCTTAGGAATCCCTAGGAATCCTTAGGATTCCATTGGATCCTAAGGCCGTTGCCACTGTGACTGTCATTGCGAATGCGACTGCGACTGCAAGAACAGCAGAATTCTACAACTGGATTCTCACCTAAATCTTAAGGGGAATGCTTCCAAATATGCTTATACACATCGCTGTTAGGTTGCTTTGCCGGGATAATTTCAAAATTTCTAGTGGGCCTACGGCCGATCCTTCCGACCACCGGGAAGAGCGCGTGAAATGTGTCTCCCATCGGACATTCGCCCCATACGTACCCGTGAAATTCCCAGGTCGTCGATCGTCCCGCTCCAGACGGCCCCAATATGGCTTCCAAGACGACCAAGAGGGTCTCTAAGACGGTTACGACGGCCGAGAGCCCAAGATGGCCCGAACATGTCTCCAAGACGGTCCGAGATGTCCCCAAGATGGCCTCAAGATCGCCCAGGAGGCCTCCAAGACATCCCTTTGAGGCCTCTACGGGGACCTCCAGGACGCCCCGAAGAGGTGAAACTCAGTGACAAATTTCTGAATGATTTTGGCGTTCACTCATTTTCGGCTTCCCAACAATCGAAGACGACCCCAGAGGCCACCAAGATGGCCCCAAGAGCGTCCAAGAGGCCTCCGAGATGGTCCCCTGACGGCTCAACAGGCCTCTGAGACGGCTAAACCGGGCTCCGAGACGGCCCAGGAGACGTCCAAGATGCCCAAGATGGCATCCAAGACGGCCCTGAAGCGCCCCAAAAGGGCCCTAGGACGGCCCAGAGAGGCCTCCAAGACGGCGTCCGACGGGCCAGGAATGCCCTCAGAAGGCCAATGAGCATCCCAAGGAGCCTCCACAAGCACCAAAGAGGGCCAGGGAAGCCCCCGAGAGGGCTCCCGGAGGCCCCAAGAAAGCTCCCAAGAGGCCCGAAGAATTCTCCTCCTCCTTCTCCGTCTCCTCCTCTTCCTCCTTGTTCCTCCCTGTCCTTTGCGGTGATTCGCCGTAGGCGTCGGTGATTCGCCGTAGGCGTCCTCGATACTTGCGAAAGAGATGCCCCTTATCTCGCCGTCCGTCCCTAGAAGAAGAAACAACGGCATAAACATACACTTTTGGCGTTCCGCGGGCGGCGCCAGAGGCGCCGCCGGGGGGCCCAGCGCCGACCCAAGAGATCTGCGAGGAGCGCCAAAAGTTTACCTTCATGGCGTTTGTTCTTCTTCGAAGAGATGCCCCTCACCTCGCCGCCCCAGCGTTTATGTTGACCACCAAGGTTGCGATATGCAATTGTCTGTGGTGTGTGGCCTGGGTGCCGCCGCAAGGCCCGCCGTGTCCACCCCTTGGCTCGCTGGGCATGCGGCCACTCGTGCTGCCAGCCTCCGGCGCAGACTTAGGTCGGGCGTGTTCCCCCTACAGGCGGATTTTGGACGAACAATTAAAACACATACCCACCAAAATACTCCATACATACATACTCGAACATAGGAAAAAGATCGTCCCTGGACTATTGTTTGACTAATTCTGCATATTCCTCCTGTAGAGGGACAGGCCCGACTTACGCCTAGACAGAACCGTTCCGTCTCCCCATTCTCGATGCTGTGAAGCTGCATGCGACACTCCTCTCGATGTGTCGACCGTCGGAAGCATTCCCCCGGTAGCTCCTCGCTTGGTGTCGGCGCCGCTTGGCAGTGAATCTGCGGGCGGCGGTGGGTCGCTGTCTGCGTCGCCGGCGGATTACGAACGCGGCGAAGGAGGAGCGACGCTGAGGCTGCAGTTCAAATAAGTGGCGCTTGCACTGAAAAAGGAAGAGCATAGATAGAGGCCTCCGAATGAGGTCCGAGTAAATGGGGTCGGGGGATCGCGCCACATCGGCGATGCATCGGCGATACAACCGCGACGTCGGCGCTGCATCGGCAACGTCGATCGGCGACGTCGCCGTAGAGAAAATCGGGCCTCAAATCGAGCCGCATCGCCGATGCATCGGCGATCCTCCGACCCAATCGATCTACTCTGCCCACATCTGGGACGAAACCCGTGCAGTGTGCAGATCAACTTCTACCTCAACGTCAAGTGGGCGACGGCGAGTGACCTCCACTGCGCGCGGGAACCCTCCCCCGAGGGGCAACGATCTGGGGGGTACTGGCAGGGAGGGGGGACTCATCGACCTGGAATCGGCAACACATCGCCGACTCATCGACCCGGAATCGGCAACACATCGCCGATATGCCACCGATCAGGAATCCGCACGCTCCTGGGCAGGCTGGGGCTATCGGGCCCATATCGGCGATCGATGGGCGATGGCCCCCCCCTACACCTAGGAGGAGGAGGAGGAGGAGGAGGAGGAGGAGGAGGAGGAGGAGAGGAGGAGGAGGAGGAGGACGAAGGGGAGGAGGAGGGGAGGAGGAGAGGAGGAAGAGGAGGGAGGAGGAGGAGGAGGAGGAGGAGGAGAGAGGAGGAGGAGGAGGAGGAGGAGGAGGAGGGAGGAGGAGGAGGAGGAGGAGGAGGAGGAGGAGGAGGAGGAGGAGGGAGGAGGAGGAGGAGGAGGAGGAGGAGGGGGAGGAGGAGGAGGAGGAGGAGGAGGAGGAGGAGGAGAGAGGAGAAAGAGGAGGAGGAGGAGGAGGAGGAGGAGAGGAGGAGGAGGAAGAGGAGGAGAGGAGGAGGAGGAGGAGAGGAGGAGGAGGAGGAGGAGAGGAGGAGGAGGAGGAGGAGGAGGAGGGACGAGGAGGAGGAGGAGGAGGAGGAGGAGAGGAGGGAGGGAGGAGGAGAGGAGGAGAGGAGGAGAGAGGAGGAGGAGGAGGAGAAGGAGAGGAGGAGGAGGAGGGAGGAGGAGGAGGAGGAGGAGGAGGAGTAGGAGGAGAGAGGAGAAAGAGGAGGAGGAGGAGAAGAGGAGGAGGAGAGGACGAGGAAGGAGGAGAAGGAGGAGGAGGAGCAGACGGAGAGGGAGGGAGGGGAGGAGGGAGGCCCCCTCCCTATCGTTGCTCCAGACCCTCCCCTCCGGACCGCTCGTGGAGGCGGCCGGCGCCGCCCCGCCTCGGCCCGCGGCGGCCTCTTGGGAGGCATCGCCGCGGCGGCGCTGCCAGCGGCGGCCTCCCCCCCCCGCACCCGGGGGTCGGGGCGGGCCCCCCGGCCTTCCCCAGGGGGCAGGCGGCGGGCGGGCGCTACACGCTGTAGCCGATGTCGAGGATCAGGGCCACCCCGGCGAGCACCCACTTCTCCCGCGGCTGCTTCGTCCTGGCCGGCGGCACGGGGGGCCCGCCTTTCTGCTCGCCCTCCTCCTCCTCCTCCTCCTCCTCCTCCTCATCCGACTGTGTCCTCCTCCCTCTTCGCCCTCCCTCCCCCCTCCCCCTCCTCCTCCTGCTCCTCCTCCTCCTCCTCCTCCGATTCCTCCTTCCACCCCCCCCCCTGGGGTATGACGACTTCTTCAGCCCTTTATTACACCGCATGCTCCTCATCCCTTATTAGGGCAACTCGCTTGGGCATCTTTTCTGGATGGGCTGGTGGGGTTATGCGAAGTGTCTAGAAGTTTGGGATGGCCCAGCGAGGCCCAAGATCAGTTCTGGTTAGGGGGCAACTCCTTGGAGGTCTTCGTGCAAACGAACAATAGCTACACAACCCGATTGAGGCCATTGAGACAGATCAGACCAAACTCAACCCACGATTAAACTCGATTCAGCCGGATTAGACGACTTAAGCCTGATTCAGACCATGGATATAACAGCGCCGATGCTGAATTCCATCTCCCAGGAATTGCATCATGACAGTGAGGGCCTCACTGTGGGGCCCTCGTGGTGACGTCTGATGTGCCCCCACATCGTGTTGTGTTGTTTTGCTGCGACGCCTGATGTCTGGGTGTTGACTGAAACTGGCTGAGAAATCGGCGAAATCCTTAACATGTTTACCAACGTGGACCCCAAACAATCCATGAGTGCACCGGGATGTGTAGCATATGTGGTGTTACCGATGTTGGACAATACATATGATATAACCCACGCGGTGTGAGCTATGTTGTGCAAGATATTCTTAATGTAGGTGCAAGGTATGTGGTGCAACTTAGGTGGTGGACGCTATGTGGTACAAGCTGTTTGGTGCAACAACTGTGGTGTATTAGGTGTGGTGCAAGCTATGCGGCTCAAGTTAGGTGTGGTGCAAGCTGTGTGATACAGCATGTGGGTGGTGCAGGCTGGTCGGTGCAAGCTCTGTGATGCAGAGCTGCGTGATGCAAACTGTGCGGTGCAAGCGATGCTGTGCGAGCTGTGCCTTGCACCCGGCGCACGGGGCGGCCCTGGTGCGCCCACGGGCGGATACCACGCGAAATCCCCGCCACGCCCGCCCAGCGCAAAGGGCCTCCTCGAGGCGCCCACGGGCGGGCACCGGGCGAAGCTTCGAAACACACCCACCCGACGCACGGGGCGCCAGCGAGCAGCCACCAACCGGACGCGAGGAACAACCTCAACACACCCATGCAACTGCTCAGGAGCGCAAGCAAGAACCCCGAGGTTCAGGGATGACGCAAGGCCCCTACCCTGGGTTACAAGTGCGTGGTCTGCAAACCTCCTGGGAGCTCCAAGGGCCAGAGAGCCGCCAGGACGCCGCGCGACAGACAGGCGCGATGTGCAGGGTTCACCCTGTCAGCCCAGCGCACAACGCCTCGTAAACCGGGGCAGGGGCGTTTTCAGCCCTTGACGAGGGGCAAGCACCGTTTGGGGAAACAGCGGGGCCACTGACGACACATCGGCCTGGACGGCCCGAGGGCGACAGCGACGACGACGACGCCAAGGACGACGACGACGACGACGAACACGGCAACATCGACGACGACGACGACGACGACCTCGTCCTGTCCTCAGTGGTCCCACAGAACCTCCCCTCGAGCACGCTCCGACCACGCCCCCGGACCCCCCCCCCTCCCGGGCCCGAACGCACCAAATGTCCGAACTGCGTCCAGCCGTAACGGCGAGGGCCCGCCAGTGGCCAACCAACGTTGTCTCAACCCGCCCTCCACTGATGTTACTCAGGAGGAGGAGGAGGAGGAACACCAGCCAGACAGCCAAGGAGGTCCTCAGCTGCGCTTCGAAGACGAAGTGGCCCTTGCGGGACGGCACGGAGTAGCACGGGCACAGGTACACGCTCTTCTCCTGGCCGGCGCCGTCTTCAACCTCCCCTCCTCATTCCTCCCTCCCTCCGTCGATCCATGTATGATCCAGGGTCGAGGGTTCACAGGCTGTGAACCCTCGACCCTGGCAGGCCCTTGCCCCTCCCCAGATGGGACGGGTCCCAAGGTTCACAGGCTCCCCTTCCCTTGATGGGATGGAGGTTCGACGACGACGACGACGACGACGACGACGACGACGACGACGACGACGGCAGGGCCACGACAACAGGGGGATGCGGGGACCTATCCCGCGCGGGAGGGGGGGGGCCCACAGGCATCAGCATGAAAGGGGGGGCGGCTGGAGCCCTGGATCCTTCGGCATGCCCTCTCCACCTCGCCCAGCCCTGCCCTGCCCGGCTTCCTCCGCAGCCCCGGCCTGTCCTCGCCCATCCCCTCGCTGCTCTTCCAACCCCCCTCTTCCCCATCACCAGTCCTCGACCATCACTTTGCTTTTCCCCCTCCTCCTCCTCGTCGTCGTCATCATCCTCCTCGTCGTCGTCGTCGTCCTCCTCCTCCTCTTCTTCCTCTTCCTCCTCCTCCTCCTCCTCCTCCTGTAAAGTACTGTATCGTATGGGGAGAGCGTCAAAACCGCTCACTCCGAAAACGAATCACGCTTCTGGGCCATAGCAAATCAGGCATGCTCTGCTCGAAAACGCACCGCGCCAGAAGCTCTGCCTCGCTCCAGCGGTCCGCATGAATTGGGTTCAACTTGGCACCAGCGAGCGGGGGGGCATTGGGAGGGCTCTTGACCCCTCCCTTAGCAAGGTGCAGGGCGGCCGCGTCGAGCCGATCGTCCAGCCTCGGTATTGCTCCGCCGAGCTCGGAAACAACCCCCTCATCATCCTCCCCCTCTGCCGCTTCACTGCGTACGTAAGTGGGCTCCTTGCATTTCTTGACCAGAGAAACAATTCCACCTAACACATACCCTCCGCGTATTGTGCACACCACTACGTTGGTTCCACCCAAGGTCCACGCCTTCACCGTCGAAGACAAACGCCGTCCAAAATGTGTGGTCTTTAAACGGAATGAAAATTCAAGCTCGGGGTCCCTGTCCGCTTCAGAGTATATCGCAGGGACCGCAAGCCGAAACACAGAAACGTTGGGCATTCTGAAGCCCCCGGACATTTGATTGACAACGCGTGTCCTCCTTATCCATGGGGAGACGGACGACATGCTCATGAAAACCAGTCGTGCCACAGCCCCCCAGAGAAACCCACAACAGAGTTAAACATAATCATCTCCAGCAAGGTGACAGATCATCGCTGCCCCGCTCAAGATCTTGGTCGTTCTCCCTTTGCGCAAATCTACCAATGTGCTGCGCTAAAACTTGACGAGCTTTCTGCCCGTCCTCGAACAAGTGCCAAATGCGCTGCCATATGTGTGCACGCCCATTCATGCTGCAAACCGACCACGCACGATCGCCCATGCAAGAAAGCGTGCCCGCATAATCAGAGCGCACAACAATATTACCGAAACAACACTGCTCCACCATCGTGATGGCGTAGTCCTTAGAGTCTCGAGACTTCCGGGGCGAGCAAGCGTCTGCTAGCACAACTCCATACGCGGCGCTGATAAATCGACCTTCGCTGCTCATCATCACCAATGCCCATCCTGCTCGCCGCAACCAGCGGGAATGCGGATGGGTCACCGATCCATCTGAGACAATCAAATCCCCACCGAGGTAGCCGCCGGCAGGCCTGTTCACCCAATAGTTGCCAGCTTCCTGAGTTTGCAGTGGGTGGGGAAGGATTTGCTCCAGTGGGAAAGGTTATATTCCTGCCACGATTTTGGGATCATGTTGATTCTATCTCCGAATGTTCTGCGCTGTCGCACTCAGCACATGTCGCGCCGAGCCAGCTTCCATCCATCGCACTCGAGACGTTTGTGAAAGAGTGATCCAACGCCCGCCCCGCACAGCGCACTCTTGTCGCAGTCCGCCCGCTTTTGTGCATGCATCCTTTCCGCCGTCCATGTTGTGAGGGACAGCGACGAGCGCGACCAGTTCTGATGCTACCCATGCCATCCTGGACGCACGTGACCTTCGCACAGCTGACGCACTCCATCCCAAAAGCACAGGGCGACACCACGTACGACAGCACTCTCCCGAGCTGGGCGCCTCGGTATCCGAACGATGTCTCGGAGCTTCACTGGCAAACTTGCCGACGGCCAGGGGTGCGAGAACAAACAAATCAATATGTCCAAAGGGAGCGTGGATAATAAGGCGAGCCGAAACAGCTTTCCAGCCAAGTTCCCACCCAGAGAAAGAGAGAGAGAGAGAACAAAACATATATATATATATATATATATATACATATATATATAGAGAGAGAGAGAGAGAGAGAGAGAGAACGTACACGTGCGCTGGTGAGATCGCCTCGGGCCCCTGAACCTTAGACTCGCCGAGGTCCTGCAGAGCCTGCCTGAGGAAGGACAGCTTCGAGCACCTCGGGCTCGACTGCTCTGTCCCAGATTGCCCCGGCCCATGGCAGCACGACCTGACAGCGGCAGCCCACGCGGGGGTCCGTGGCGGAGGCTGGGGACGAGGTCTCCGTCTTGCGTCCTGGAGAGGCTCCAGGCTTGTGTGTGTTTTTGTTGCCCTGTGTGTGTGTTTTTTTTTCCACAGAGTGTGTGTGTGTGTTTTTTGTGTATGTTTTTTTTTTCCCCCACAGTGGTTTTTTCCAACAGTGTGTGTTTTTGTGTGTTTTTGGTGTTTTTTTTTTTTGTGTGTGTGTGTGTGTTTGTCCTCCTGGGCCCACGAGCCCGTACTCCGGCGAGGCCGGCCGGCGAACACCCCCCGCACGGAGCCCGCCCGAGGCCCTGCCCCGCGTGTCCCTCCCGCCCCGCCTCCCGCCGCCCTCGGCCTCCTCGTTCCGATCGGGCCCCTCCTGTGGAGCCTCCTCCTGCCATCCTTCGGGTTTCCTCCTCCTCCTCCTCCTCCTCCTCCTCCTCCTCCTCCGCCTCCTCCTCTGCTTCCTCCTCCTCTGCTTCCTCCTCGTCCTCCTCCTCCTGCGGAATGTCGAGTTTCTTCGCTTCCTACCCTCGCCATCGCTCGGACGTCCATTCCCTGTGCTTTTTTCGGTGTCGTGCGTGTTTTTTTCGCGAAATGATCAAGGATGCTCGTCGATGATCAAATGAACACGTCCGAGCGATGCCAGGTGCCTGAAAACAACGTCACAACCTAGGCGTTTGACCGCCACCTTAGCGAAGCCGTAGGCCTCTCACTCCTCAGCAAGATGCTCCGCTGGGCCGCCAGTGGACACCCGACAGGGCGAGCTGCAGGTTCCTGAAGCCCTGCACGAGCTTGTGACCTATCTCGGCCATCACCTGGCCTACGGACCTCTCAGTGCCTGAGCTGAAATATCGTCCACGACGTTCCTCACATGCGTGGAAAAGTGTGGCTCTGCAATCTTCGCAAAGGTCCGGAACAACAGAACTGTCACCAACGTCATCGCCAAACGGCACCCAACTAACACTGCCCCTGGAACTCTGAACGTCTTGGATACAGTTCCCTGGAATGCTGAAATCCTCGGACCAGAATGCAGGGCACACGCCGCCTTCAGCAAACGATAATTAAAAGTGGTGGCCGCCTCCTCCTCCTCTTCCTCCTCCTCATCTTTCTCCTCCTCCCCTCCTCCTCATCACCCATCGTCCTGATACCGCCTCCACCTCCTCGCGCAACTCCCGCTCCCTCCCATCCTCCCCCCGCTGTCCCGTCCGAGGGCAACACCCGAAAGTAACTCCGGCCTGGCGGCAGTCGCGCGCACAAGCTCTGGAGACCACCTTGTGAGGAGGAGAGGAAGAGCACGGGGAGGAGGAGGGGGAGGATAGATAGATAGAGCGACGCTGAAACGGCGGTCCTGCCACCATGGCCTAGCTTTCGGCCACCCCGCTCCGCGGCTCGTTGTGCAACAACGAAGGGAGGTGGACGGAGGTGGTCATCGCATGACCCGGGCAGACCTGGAGGGTCGTGCAGGGCTCTCGGGGGAGCAAACGCAGTCCCAATGACACGCCGCCGCGGGGAGCCCACAGACGTGTCCGCGTCGACACAGCACACCGCCTTCGGGCAGGATCGAACGAGCGACACGCCGATGGGCTCCCCACGGCAGCGAGCCGTCGACACGCGCTGCCCCTCCCGAGGCTCCTGCGGGGAGGAGCCCCCACGAAGCACGACGACGGCAACGACGAGGGCCGTCCATCGAATGCGGAAGGCGGCGCGCCGGGGACGGGGCGCCGTCCTCCTTCTCCGCCGCGAGGCCCGCCTTACAATTGATCACCGGCATCCTCGTGAACATCTCCTGCCGCTCCCCCACCGCGCAGCGACCCCTACGACATGCCAGTCTCCGGGGGGGGGGGGGGAGCCTGGAGCTTCAGCGCACGACGGCCTGCCCACAAGTGGGCCTGCTTCCGGGCTGGTCTCTTCGCGAAAAGGTTTCGAAACTGGCTTTGAGCACCACTGCGCTCACGGAGCCCTGGGCGGCCTTCTTTGCTGGCGTATCCTGGGTCATCCTGTTCCCTCGCCGACCCCTCTCCGTCTCCCTTCCTCCTCCCTTTTCCGTCCTGCCTTCTCCTCCTCTTCCTCGTCCTCCCCCTCTCCCTCTCCGTCGGTCCTCCCGCGCCCTGCTCCTCCGACCTCCCCCTCTCACGCAACCTTCTCCTGAGAGCGAGCGCCCCCCTGCCATCAGAGCCGCCTTGCCTTGAGAACGCTTCACTCAAAACGAGGTCCAACAAGGACATGACGGAAGACAAGAGCGACAAGTCACGTCCCCAGGGAACTCACGCGAGGACCCCGATCTGGGGGGGCTGACGCTCAGATCCTTGCTCGAAGTCCTTCCGCGCCTAACGACCGATGTGACTACCAGAGAAAAATGTCGGGGGTAAAGAGGGGCCCGACTTGGATCCCCCTCGCAAATACGAGTTATCACCGACAAAACCGTGACCTTCAGATCTGCGGCTTCGCCATATCTCAGGAGCCTGTTAAAGATGAGTGAGTGGCCTGCGCCTCGGAACAAGCGCGGGCGCGATCGTCGGAGGCGTCGGCGTCACGGATGTGATCAATGGCGCCCACCCGCACGGTCTCGGAGTAGGCGAAGAGGTAGGAGGTTCGGCATCTGTTTTCGGACAGTTATCACTGATCCACGGACCTCGGAATAGGCCCTGAAGTAAGAAGCATTGGCATGTGGCTTACCGCCTCGTCAAACTCACTGTTCCAGACGGCCTTGGAGCAAAATGGTGATCTCAAGAATTTCAAGCATCTCGTAAACATCCCATTGTTAAGCCTGCTCTGGCATCAAAGCGGGCACTTCGCCCTGGCCAGTGCCACTTGCCCCATTCAAAGCCGAACCATCTCGAAACGCAGATTTTCCAAGAACTGTTGCCCCGGGCGAAATCTGATAAGAAACAAACGTGCCATCGCGGGCGCCGCGCCTGCTGCCACCCCTGGCACAGCGGCCACGGGGCTGTTCATCTCTCTCTCTCTCTCTCTCTCTGTCTGTCTCTCTCTCCTCGGGCCGAGTGGCCGTGCAGAGATGGTGTCCAGCGCGTTCGTGAACTCCCCTGGCCACTCCTGGCGCCCCCACTCCGCGCGATCGGGCGGCGTGCGCCCCCGCTGCAGCTCTGCGCCAGACCGAGCAAGCGCGTCGAGGATAGTCTGGCAGATCGACACGCCGAGGTCGAGGAGCAACTTCCTCTTATTGAGTGCGCACCATGTGTTTATGTGGCAGAACTTGATCAGGCCAGCCGTATTCGCCGTCTCCACGGTCTCGAACTACAACTGGAGCTGCGATCACTTCTCGGCGTTCGTGGCCTCGACCGCGTCGCCCACCTGCAGCGGGCCCGCCGGCGGCCCTCCCGTGGTCCACGTGCTTGGCGCGCGGGGTATGTGGCCTGTGTCCTCGTTGGCGGCCCTGTCTGCGTAATCCGCGCCCGGGGCTCTCAACTGCGTCGCCTCGCGGCCGTCGCCGTCGATTAAAATTTAATCGAAGGCCGCGCCCTCGACCGTCCGCTTCGACCGGCCTCGGGGGGGCCATTGAAAGCCCGCGCCTGCAACTGCCCGCGGGCCCCTCAGACCCATGTCGGCAAGGCAAAAATTCCCCAACGCCGCGCCTTGCGCGCGCCGCCCGGGCGCGGCGGCCCCCATCTCGACGCCGCCGCCGCGCCTGGAAGCGCCCTTCTTTGCCAGCCGAAGGTGGCGCGCTCGCCCCGCGCGAACTACTTCCATGACACGATGGGAACAGCAACGGGCGGAGACGATCCGTATACTCTGTTGCGCAACGCGTCCGTTATGTTAGTCGATTGCACTGGGCGCCGAAGAGCTCGTCGAAGTAACTGCGTCGGATCGCGGCCGCGGGAACAAGTGGCAATCGTCGCGTTGCGCTTCCAACCTGGCGCCGCTTACCCCCCCCGCACCGATGGTGCGCGCTGGCGCGCGCGCTCTCGGGTCGAGACTGGCCCTGCACCGTCGGCGCACATTGCCGACCGCGCGCGCGTGCAGAGAATTGCGTGCGCCGCGCTCTCCCCCGCGAGACTGGCACGCGCGCGCTACAAAGACCCCGCGGCTCCTGCGGGCCCGCGAAAGTAGAGACAGCAAGAACCGCCTAGCCCTGCGTCGAGATCGCGGCCCTCGGAATCGACGGGTCGCTGCGCGGCAGAAAACTGATCTTTTTCGCTGTCGGCAGAATCGGCGGAGTCAACGGGTCGCTGCGCCTCGTCGCTGTCGCGCGCTGACAATGCGCGAATAATGGTGCCCCGCCCATCCCTCGTAGAAGTCCGCAAAGATTCAGCGGTCGGCCTCTACTTGCTGCGCTGATGGCGGGGCCGGCTGGCCAGGGCGCCCACTGGGGCCCTGCGCAGGTGGGCCATCCTCCAGGGTCACCTAGAGAGCAGCAGCGACATTGGCGCGGGCCTCGGGGTCGCGGGGCATCATTTGGAGCGCGGCGAACCCGCCGGAAACTGGAGCCCGCCTAGTAGAGGTGACACTCCGCTTGCGTCTGAGGTCAGCGCGCGGATCCCCGGGCGTTGGCCCGTCCAGTCGGCCCCCCTTCCCCTTTCCAAAGCTCGGAGAAACTTTGCGGTGATGCTGTCCATCTGGTCAATCGCCCACGCGGTGAACTCGTTATGTCCGTCGGCTGAAATGCCGGCTGAAGACGCGCCATTTGCTCGACATCTGCTACCCCGCGAGCGCCCCACATTAACCCGACCAGATTTCATCGCCGAACATGGGTGCTGCATGTTTCCCCGAGCAGACATCGTCGCCAAACGCGGTGACCGCCGCCCGCGCGCATCGCCCTCCCGAGTGCCGGGCTCTTGCTGGGACCTCCCCCACGAAATCCCCGAGGCGCTGATATCGGGGAGGGCAGTGGGAGCTCGGCGCTGTTCCGCGCTTGCTTATATTCTGAAGAAGTTCCACTTCCTGGACTGCAGCGTCAAGGTGGGCGTCGTTCCGCGGGGTGAGATGGGGGGCCCCATCCAGCCCTTCCCCTCGCCGCGGGCGTCGAATCGGAGATGCCGCAGGCGAACGCGCCGGCGCCCCCGTCGATCGCAAGGGGGGGTGCCGCACAGCGGGCGCCCAGGGCGCGGTGTGACTCGCGCGACGGCCTCCGAGTCGCAAAGGGTCTCTGCGCGGTTCTTTCGAATGAGATCGGTTCCCCACTGGGCCCCATCAATCCCCCGCGTCCACGGCGAATTCCAAGGCCCCCGAGAGCCCGCCCAGTGAACCCCGTGAAGAAGCGCATTTTGCACCGATCGACGCGAGGTGACTGGCCTCTCCTTCTGGTGGGCCTATGTTTGGGCGGCGCCCCCCCTGGTCTCCGCCGTCGCGGAAGCTAATGAACTCGACGCATCGCGCAAGTTGTTGGGGCTACGAACTCCCTGCATTCAGTGTCGGGCCCAGCTGCTGGGGCGTCTTCCCGACGCCGCGCTGGTAGACCCCTGTGGAACCCTGGCGGCCGCGGTTCTGTCTGCGACCGAAGTCCCCGCTGCAGGTCGCTCCAACGAATCCCTTCAAACGCGGGCAGGGGGCGTGGATCGGTCTCCTCTCCAAGGTACCACTTGGGATTGGAAGAACAACCCCGGGGCGATCGACGCCTCGCCCTATTCGACGCCCTCGCCTGCCAATAGATGACCCCGCGACGTTCCTGAGCACAGGAAGGACGAGCCCACCGCGAGCTCGCCCAACGCCCGGGCCCCGCCGCGGATCGTCAACGCATGAGACGTAACTGGCCTCGACTGCCATCGCAAGCCCTGTAAGTGCACTCCAATCTGGTGCCGCCCTTAGATTTGGCCGCTTCTTCGATGACCTCGGGGTCTGCCCGAGGTCTCTGTCCGCCCCAAACCACTTCTTCTCGCGATCCCCGGAGCTCAGACGCGACGATATCGATGCGGGGTTCGGGCGAAGCCCCGACGCGAGAGCAATCTCTCGCGCGCTCATTTCTCCAGCGCGATGGGGTGCCTTCGAGATGGCCCTGTCAGCCGTGCGACTGGGGTTGAAGGACATGGCGACGCCTCGTTCTTCGTCCTCCGCAGCGGTTGCCTGGGAAGGAGAGGCGCATGCGCATACGCTTCAGCGAATCTTTGAAATCGGTGAGCTTCGTGGATATCTGTCGCGGCCCTGTGTCTGCTATCGGTTCGCCCTCTCCTTCGTCGAAGTTCGAGCCGCGTTGATGGTTGCGCGGCGTACCATGGGAAATTGACCGGCTGGCTCCGCAATGTCGGCTCGCATTCGCCACTCTGTCCTGGCGACCTTTCCCGGGCGCCCGCGTGCAGGCGCGCGAGCTCAGCCCGTCGAGCGCACGAACGCTGTGCCTCGGGCGGCGCTGGCGGGCCCTCTGCCAGGAAATGGCTAGCTGGGCACCGCGCGAATGCATCCTCGAGGGACCCCTGGAAGTGGTGCCGTTTGGAGCACTTCCTGGACTGCCTTTGCCATCTTTTCCGGGGCCCCACTTGGCCCGAAAAGCCTCTGGAAGAGTTCTGCGCGGATGTGGCGTAAATTCCGTGAGAATCGGGGCGCGGTCTCAAGATAAGGCATCGGGGGTAAGCTGGAGCTTCTGGGCACCCAGCCAAGGCGTCAAGCACCTCTGGATCTGGTCTCGGAGGGTGGGAGGGGGCGGGGATGTGGTCGACCCCGCTGCTGGCCCCGTCAAGGCCGACGCAAGCGGGGCCTGCCTTCAGACAGGAGGAGCTTGCATCACTGAGCCCGCGAGGAATCACCCATTCATCCAAGAGGTGCCCCCCGAAAACACTGTGGATATTCGGATGGCATTTGCATGCTCGGTTGCTCATCTTGGCACGTCCTGTTTCC